TACACAGATTATAAAAGTTTACACGGTAAATGCACATTTTGTTAAACACAGTGACACGGGGATCAGGCGCTGAGATTGACACACAGATAAACAGAGATTGTCACACTGTGCTGCCGCACACTGGGTGTCAGGGCCCTCTGATGGTGTGGCTGATGTCAATGAGGATCATTAGCTGGTGCTGTGCTGTCTGGTGGCTACAGGGGCTCAGTATTGGCACTGAATGTCAGGTCATGTCGTGGCTGCTCAGTGACGATGGGCACAGACGGCCTTCGCTGAACGGTACTCAATGTGGAGCTGAGGTCACTCTGCCCCGACCTTCACTTCTCGTCACAACACAACCTCCGCTCCAACCGGAGCACCGCAGCGCCTCGAACCCTCGGCCCCATCAGTGAGCGGGCAGTGACCGTGTGGGACCCACTCCAGAGGGACACAGACGCTGGAGCGGAAAGAGTTGTTTGTTTCAAAAACAAATTAGATAAATATCTGTTAGAATAATAATAACTGGGGATACAACAACAACATTAGATTTCTGAAGCGCATTTCACGTCGGGAGGACATCCCAAGGCACTTGACTGTCAATGTTTCGAAACCGAGCTGGGGATCGGGTTTGGGGAAGGTGGAGGACAGTGGGGACATGCGTGGCCCATGTTGTTGTTGTTTTAGATGTGCGAGCACGCAGAAATGTCAGGCAAGTTTCCTTACTGCACTCGTGTGTTTACTAAGCAGGAAGTAATAACCTAAGTCTGCAACTAAAATTATCTTTAAAAAAGTAATACATTTGTCACACAATCCACATTAGTATGTGGGACACGACTGTGAGCAATTGGATGCCGCGTTGTGTTCACAAAATACACAGTCAACCCGTTTTACTGCATATGTTGTGTTGCGCTTTGAGACGTGTCTAAGATGTGATCAGACGCTATATCAAATGAAGCGGTTTTAATGATTATAATTAGAATTCAAAATATTTTATTACGCTAGCGGTATGCAAGCGTATTTGCACACATTCTATGAATAAATTCCCAATCTTCGCATTAAATATGTTTAAGCACATATTGGGAGGAGAGCAATGAACACGTTTCATAAAGTTTCATGACATATTTGTGAAGGAAAGGCCCAATGAATCCAAAATCAAGCATTCCATCACTAAGTTAAGAGACATTCACTTTTAATTGTTTCGGGAGAATGAGCTTAGATTTAAGAGATATTTGTAGATTTTTAAAGGAAACATGCAAAGTTGATATCTGCTCCTAATGTTGGAAGGCTTCGCTGTTTGTGGAGATATTCACCAATGTTGCTGACGTTCGACAATGTGCATAGCCAACTCCTTTGTTATCTAGTGTTGATGTTTCGACATTAATTTAGCAATTATATGAAATGGATAAACTAACCCTTTCTTAAGTTCCGCTTTAAACTTATTCTGAGTCAACACATAAATACAAGGGTTGGTACAGCAATTCAACCTTTGAAGCATAATCCCCGTTTCTTGGACAACAGTCCGCGTGTTAATGACAAGCGTTTCGCTATAATTAAAATTGGAAAGTTGCCATTTGAAGGAATGTACAATATAAGTTGTCCACAACAGTATAAAACTGCCCGATATGGCGAAGAGTAAAATCACCGGTTTCTTTCGGTTTTCTAACTCAGGGTCAATGGTTTTCTGATCATTTCTCAGACCACGAAGCCTTCTGCGAACATTACTGGCCATCAGAATGTGTCTGATGATCAGAGCATTGAACAGGCAAATCAGAGCAAAACCAAAGACGGGAGCAACAACACGGTGAAGCCTTTGAAACGCTATCCAAGTGGCCAAGGTAAAAAAACTTGGTTTCAAGACACAGTACCACGGGGTACCATTAATTATAAAATATGGATCAAACATATAGTAACAGGGAATGCTCAGCAGCTGAAAACAATCAGAATTACAATAACCACTGTGGCCGTCCTCTCAGTGCAATATTTTGGTTTCAACGTTTGGCAGCAAATGGCTACAAAACGGTCGAAAGTGAAAGCAACTGTGAACCACAAAGAGCTGTGCATAGTTATAGACATGAACACAATTCTAACGCTGCACATTGGAGTGTAGAATAAGATGTTTAATGGGAAATGCAGATTATAAATTTTGTTCAAAAAAACATCCACAAACACAACCAGGAGATCAGCCACTGCCATGGCCACCAAGTAGCGAGTGATGTAGTTGGAGAGACCGCATTTTCCTCTTGACAGGATCACAATCGCCACTAAATTAACTGCGAGAAGCAATAGAAATAGGAAACGTAATTTACATGAGTAAAAATTGTTAGGTGAAAGCCTTGGGACGTGCTCCCGACGTCAAAGGCGCGATACAAATGTAATCTTGTTGTTGCCGTAGTAGGTTAAAAGTGTAAAGGTGTATAGTATTCGGTTTCTTTGTCTTTGAATTGTTTCAAATGCTTTTGCCCACAAAATTCAGTCAGTGCAGTTTACAGTAAACCATTTAAGCGTGAAGGGACACCCTCAAAGTAGTTATTGATTGGTGAACTAGGAAATTATGCATTTATCTAGGAGAGTTTGATTAGAAATGTAAATCTGTGTTGTGTTCAGCAGCATTTTCTTCCAATTGCTTCAATCGGTTTCGAACTCAGTTAGTGTCCCGGAATAATTCCCCTGGTGTCATTCTTGTAAAGCTTCTCTCCAAAGCTTTAACTTATTTCCTGAAAAGCGCGGCCCAAAACTGAATGCACATCTCCAGCTGCGGCTGGAGGTACAAAGGTAGAACTATCGCTCCAGTTTCCGTATTTGTGCTTCTATATGATCCCAGAAAACTATCAACAGAAACCGCTGACATTTAGAAAGCATCCTTCATACAGGCAGCGTCTCAGAGTGTTGAGGTGTAGCGGGGCTTGACCCACAACCTGGGGAGAGACTTGGCAAGTGACTGTAGGCCCATCAAACTGTAGTATTCCGATCAGATCTGAAGAGAGTTGAGCAGACAACACAGTGGCAGATTGAGACAGAGAGTTCTGGAGTTTGAGATGGGCATTGGCTGATATCACAGCCTCACATGGTCGATAAAATGGAACAAGAGGAGGGAACAAGAGGGAAATAAAAGGGAACAGGTAGGCGGCATGGCCGCTCAGTTTCAAGGGGGTGGAGCATGTCAGGGAGGCAGAGAGGTGAAGGAGGTGATAGAATTTAATTTGGTTTTTGAGAAAGACTGATGAACTGGAAATTGATGCGTGAATGAATGAGGTTTAAGCTGTTCGGTGTGAGACATGGTCTGAGGAAGGCAACGCAACAGACGAGAAGTCGAGCGTTCATGGTCAGGGATAATAACGATAATCTGAGCCATCCAACTCAATCCCTCTCTCCATAGCCCAGTGATCCTGTCCTCCCCAAATACCCGTCTACTTCGCTCTTAAAAGTTGTTATTGAATCGGCTTCCACTGCCCTTTCAGGTAATGCATTCCAGATCCCAACAACTCGCCGTGTGAACACAATTTTCCTAAGTTCCGCACTGTTTCTTTTACTGACTATATTAAATGGTGTCCTCGGGATACTGACCCACATCAGTGCAAACAGTGTTTCCCGATTCAACCTTTCAAATCATCTCATGATCTTGAAAACCACTATTAAATCCCCCTTAATCTTCTCGGCTCAAGGGAGAATAATCCTAGTTTCGCCAACCACACATTCACACACACACACACACAGACACACACAGACACACACATACCCACACACTGAGCACCGAATCCAGACTGACCCCTAATCGTTCATTTCCAAAATCAACTCGCTGCGTCTGTCCAGGCTGTTCAACACTGCACACAATTAATTTTAGGACATCAAAATCTTCTGACACTCCCTCAGACGAGTTCACCTTATTTCTGATTGATGGCTGATTTATTTGTCCACCCTCAGAGCCTTTTTTCAGGCCGGGATTAAACCGTGGGAAACATTAGTCGTGAACATAATTTGATTCGTGAACCTGTAGTGAAGTACGAACTGGCAGAATTTTCCTTGTCAGTAGCAAAATTTAATAAAAGATTAGCAAGCTTATACATCATCAAAATTATACATTTCATCAAATGAAGGCGTACAACGGGCGAGTGATCAAATCAATGCTGAGGGTGGGTTAGTGAACTGCACTGCAAAGGGTTGATCGGATCAATACAGTGGCTTTGATGTAGGAATCGCTTTGGTGCGGTTCCCATCAGTCTGATTTTGATTGCAACACATCATAAAATTAACGGTCTTAAAATTAAGGATCATCATCTCAGAACAGAGTTGAGGAAATATTTCTTCACTGAGAGGGTAGTGAACTCAGAGGGTTGTGTTACGCTGCTGTGGCAATTGGCTGCTGCATTTCACGCTGTATCACATGCAAGCATCATTATGATTATTGTTATTATTAATAATAATAATAATAATAATAATAATAATCCTTACATTTGATATAGCGCTTTTCACGTCGGGAGGACGTCCGAAAGCGCTTCACAGAACACACTGTAAAGTGAATTGACAGTATATTTGTGGGCAAACGCGGCAGCCAATAGCGCACAGCAATGTCCCACAAACAGTCGTGGATTAAAAATGACCAATTTATTATTGTTTTTTTTGGAGGGATTATTATTAGGCGTATTATTATTATTATTATTATTATTAATCTCTCTCTCTCTCTCTCACTCAGGCTCTCTCTCCGAGTCTCTGACTCTTTTCTCTAACTCAGTATCTCTCTTTCTCAGTTCTCTCACTCACTTTCTCTCTCTCTCTCTCTCTCTCGCTAACACACTCAATCAGTCTTTCTCTCTCGCTCTCTCACTTTCCCTCAATCGCTTTCTCTGTCTCAGTCGCTCTCTATCTCCGTCTCATTCTCTCTCTGTCTCACTTTCTCCTCTGCATCAGAGTGACAGGTGATGCGAGAGGGGAACTGAGATCAGACTGAAGCTGGTATTGACCACAGGTGATGATGAGGGGACGTAGAGAGGAGAGAGAGCAGTTCATGGCCACCGGCCTCCGCGCTACACTCTGACTGTGGCGTAGACTGGATCCTTGTCCTCACCGACTTGGCGGCGATTCTCACTCCTGCTCCCTAATGCCAGGCTGGCGTAGTGGATGTCAGTGTCCTGCAAACAGGCCAACAATCAGCACATTTGCTGGGGATTATGGGGAAACATGACCTACCCCCGACTTTCCAGCTATTGGCTCCGTGGTGAGACCCCGAGCCACAGCTCCATTATGTGTCTGTGGATGTGTGTTTCTGTCTCCCCCAAACACACGGGAGACCGCAACCCACAGCTCTTTTGTGTGTGTCTGTCTCTCTCCCACCCCCACCACACACCCGGACCCCCACCACACACCCGCACCCCCACCACACACACTCCCCACCCCGTCCACCACCCTCTCAGCTGGGGAATGCAACCCATGTGTGTGTGGTTCTCCATCCCTCCCCCATGATTACTGTGCGTATTAACATATCTGAAGGTGAAAGACATGAATTGATCACCGATAAATCGCGCGATAAGTTAATTATAACCAATAATAATGATAATAAATTTGCATTTTGGGAGATTCTCCTGACGTGAAAGATACTCCACAAATGTAAGTGGTATACACACACAGACACACATAAGCAAGCAAACATACATACATACAAACAGACATACATGCACACACACACACACAAAGACCCACACACATAAGCAAACATACAAAGACACAAACAGGCAGCCACACGTCGACCCACAAACACCCACACAGATAAGCAAACACATAAAGACACAAACAGAGAGACATAAACATACACACATCACATGCAGACACCTACACAGACAAAACCCCCACCCTACACATACACAGACATACACACACATAAGCAAACACCTAAAGACACAGAGAGACGCACATATACACATACACCCACCCACACAGAACCATACAGACATCCTCCACCACCCCAAAAACCCCGCCCCCCCAACCCCCGACAACTCTCCTCCCCCCCCCCCACACACACACACAAACACAGACAAACACACGCATATAAACAGACCAAGCACAGAGCCCAGAGAAAAGCCACACGACACACAGGGCTTCAGCCGCGCTTCACTGAACCGGGCTGACACAGGGCCTGAGCCGGGACTGACACAGGGCCTGAGCCGGGGCTGACACAGGGCCTGAGCCGGGCTGACACAGGGTCTGAGCCGGGGCTGACACAGGGCCTGAGCCGGGCTGACACAGGGCCTGAGCCGGGCTGACACAGGGCCTGAGCCGGGGCTGTATCAATGATCCCTTCCCCACTCAGGCGCTGACAGCATCAGCATCCAAGGTTGCACTCTCCACCTCTCAAAGCCGATCAGGAACCTCGGCGTTCAGTTCGACCCTGAGCTGTCCTTTCTTCCAGACATCCGCGCCACAACTGGCACCGACTTCCATCACCTCCGACACATCGCCAGACTACGGCACAACCTCACCCCTCACGCTGCTGAAACTCTGGTCCACGCCTTTGTCACCTCAAGGCTGGACTACGGGAATTCTCTGCTCGCCGGCCTTCCCGCCACCTCCCTCCACACTGCAGGTCAATCAGTACTCTGCAGCTCGTGTACTGTCCCGCACCAGGCTTCGGGACCACATCACTCCCATCCTCGCCCTCGCCCTCATCCTCACTCCTACCCTCGCCCTCGCTCGCCTCCACTGGCTCCCCATCGCCCAGAGGATCGAATTCAAGATCCTCACCTACAAGGCCATTCACGCCTCGCTCCCTCATTCCTCTCCGACCTACTATCCCCCTACCTACCTGTCCGTACCCTCCGTTCCTCTGGCTCTGGTCTACTCCACATTCCCCGCCCCTACCATCGGTGGCCTTCAGCCTCTCAGCCCCAAGGCTCTGGAACTCCATCCCCAGTGCCTTCGCCGCTTCCTTCCTTTCCTCCATCAAGACCTTTCTCTTTGACCTTCAGCCTTCACCTCTCCTCTCGACTCTCTACCCCCTCCTCGCTCCCTCCCTTCCCTCCCCTTACCCTGACCATTTCCCGCCTCCTCGCTCCCTCCCTTCCCTCCCATCATCCTGACCATTTCCCCGCTTCTCGGGTCCTGACCCAACTGTTTAGCGCCTTGGCACGTTCTCCCAACGTAAAATGTGCTCTCTAAATGAAATCTTGTTGTTGTTGTACTCACATCTGGAGGCACCGCTCGTGGAGGAATTCTCACCGTCGTATCTGAAACAAACGGAAACGGGATTTAACAGCAGCACATTTCAGTAGCAATCGACATTATCTAATATTATTGTCAATGTTATTAACAATTAAGTTTATAATAATTAATGATGATGACATTCAGGAATATGAGAGAAACAGGAATATATTAATCAACCCTGCGTTTGAAGTAACCCCTTATCACTGGTCGAGATGCTTCACAAAATACACTGTATAGTGGAGAGACTGTGTGTTTTTGAGTGAGACAACATCCAGTTTGCACACAGCAGTGTCCCACAAACAGACATGGAGTTACCGACCAACATTATTTGGGGGATTATCGACGAGCTCACTAGGAAATATTAATTTCTCTCTGAGAATTTTGTCGAGGGATATTTATTGCACCCGAACAGACCGACGGAACATCAGTTTAACATCGCATCTGAAAGACAGAACACATGAAGCAGCTTAAGTTCAGAGAAGTGATTTACAAACAGACCCAGGCACAGACACGCAGTCAAACACGCAGACAAGCATACCGTCAGACTGGCAGAACGGCAGACAAATAGACAGACACACAGTCGGAAACACAGTCAGACACGCAGATAAGCATTCACTCAGACTCACAGAAAGTCAGACAGACAAACAGAAACACAGAAACACAAACACACAGTCAAACACAGAGACGCGGAGACACAGACAGACAGACAGTCACACACAAACACACACTGGCAGACAGACAGACTGATAGAGAATGGGAGGGACAGAGCCAGAGAGACAGAGGCCAAGGGAGCAAAGCCTCAGGCTCGGGGGAGGCCCATGAGCAAGCGATGGGTTGGTGTGGGGCTCGGGCACACGACTATCCAGCGCTGTTGGTGACCCACTCCTTTCCCTCTGGGCTCAATCCCAGGAACGATATCAGTCACATGTGTCAGTGCTGCAGTGGGTGAGGGTGGGGGAACCATGTGTGTGGTGGGGATGGTGTGTCTGTGGGAAGTGTGACTGCGCGGTGTGAGTGTGGGTAGGTGTGGGGTGTATGTGGGGGGATGGTTTGTGAGGGGGGGAATGGTTTGTGGGGGAAAATGTGTGTGGAGCTCGGATGTGTGTGGGAGGAGGGGGAGTTTGTGGGGCAGGCTGTGTGTGGGAGGAGGGTGTGTGGTGGGGAGGGTGGGTGTATAGTTGGGTATGTGTGTCTTAGTTTGGGGAGGGTGTGTGCTTGGGGGAAGGGTGTGTGTGGTCTAGCGTATGTGTGTGGGAGGGTGTATGTGTGGGAGCTTATGTGGGTGGGGGGAGGGTGTGCGTGTGGGAGGAGTGTTTTGGTGGAGGGAGGGTGTGTATGTGGATAGTAATGGGGCAAGAATATGTGGGGGGAGGTTGGGTGTGTGGGAGCGTATGTGTACGTAAGTGTGTAGGAGGTCAGTGTGTGAAGGGGGGTGGCTGTGTGGGCGGGAGGCTGTGTGATGGAGCGTCTGTGTGGGGGGGAGGCTGTGTGGTGGGAAGGCTATGTGTGGGGGAGGCTGTGTGTGGGGGAGGCTGTGAGGGGGGAGGCTGTGTGAGAGGGATGCTGTGTGGGGGGGAGGCTGTGTGTGGGGGGAGGCTGTGTGGGGGGAGGCTGTGTGGGGGAGGCTATGTGGGGGGAGGCTGTGTGGGGGGAGGCTGTGTGGGGGAGGAGGTTGTGTGGGGGGGGAGGCTCTGTGGGGGTGGAGGCTGTGTGGGGGGAAGCTGTTTCTGGGGGGAGGGTGTGTATGGGAGGAGGGTGTGTGGTGGAGGGTGTGTATGTGGGAGGCTGTTTGTGGGGGGAGATTGTGTGGCGGTAGCGTGCGTGTGGGGCGCGGAGGGTGTGTGGAAGGGTAGAGTGTGGGGTAATGTGTGACTTTGGGGAGATTGTCAGTGGGTGAGATGGATTTGTGGGGGAGAATGTGGGTATGTGGCGAAGTGTTTGTGCGGGGGTTGGGGTGGGGGGGAGCGTGTGTGTGTTGTGGGTGGGTGGTGGGGGGTTTCGGGAGAGATTAGAGTAGAGAGCTCAAGTGGGGGAGAGCACCAGCAAAGACAAGATGGGTAGACAGCAGCGAATGGGATTAGAGCAGAAACGTTTTTAAACTGGACTCTTCTGTTTACCTGTAAGTACAAAATGTAATAAATGTTAAAATTCTTCAGTACCGGTTGTATGTAGTGGTGGTTTTATTAATAATAATTCTTCCCTTTCATCCAGCGTCAAAGCCCTCCAGAGGCAGTCGTGGCCAAGAGCTGTTTCCTCTCCCCTCATTGGCATTTTTTGGCGACCATTCAGCCACTCCACCCCCACTCTCTGGAAATCAATTCCAAATTCCCTCTGGTTTACCCCTCACTCCCTCTCTCACACCTCAACACCTATCTCTTCAATCCTATCTAACATTATCATCACTATTCAGTGTCACACTCAACATAAATCGCTGTTATAGTTTATTGTTTTCGCTATATTATGTTTAATTATGTTTTGTTGTGACATATAATCTGCTGACGGTTGTGGAATTTGATTTGCTTTTTGGTACAGAACGTAACAGGAACGACATCTGCTCAGATTGTAGGTGGATATTCACCGTTTGCATTTACATTGACCAAAGTAAAGTAACAATACAATCCTTCCATAAAACAGAGCGCCTGATAAAATAATAATACTTGCAATTGAATAGCGCCTTATCATAAATTCAAGACGTCTCAAAGCACTTCAGATTATACTGTAAAGTGAATTAACTGTACATATTGGGCGAAATGCGGCAGTGCCCCACCAACAGCTGTGGATGGAATCACCAATTTAATCTTTTTTTTGGAAGGAATTAATGCCCCGGAAAATCATTAATCCAATCGACTAACAACCGGGTTCCTGCTGACTGCTCAGTAAACAGAGGCGTGTGGAGTAAGGAAACTTGCCCAACATTGCGGGCTGCTTACAAACAAAAAAACAGTGAACCCAGGTCTCTCGCTTCCGAAGTGAGTCCTCAAACCACTGAGCTACAGGACTCCTTGCCACGTGGCCTCTTATCGACTTGTTGAGGTGTCTCAATGAGCTTGATAGGATATACAGAAAGTGTAGTGACTGTGCATTTTCGGAACATACTGCAGCAGCCAACCGCACGCATCTGTGTCCCGCAAACATGGAGCGAGCAAACATGTCCCACTCCTCATGGAGCAGGTGACCAATTTTATTCGATGGATTTTTGACCAGGACATCAGGAGACAGAAAGTCCCTTCTCTTTTCGAATAGCGCCACAGGACCTTTAACTTCCCCGTGAACTGGCAGATGCGAACGCGGTTTAACGGTCTCACCGGTGTTACAGACTCACGACTTCAACATTATACCAACACTGTGAACCTGCAGAAGTTTCTACACCTGCGATCTGTCACTTACAACGCTTTGAATGCCAAAGGATGGTTCTCTACAGCCTATGTACCTCAATAGTGTCACGAGCTCTAAGTCCAGTCTAATACTTTACATTTTCTATGGTGTTAACATAAACTCAGATATGTTTGTCTGACTCAGCAAGCGCGATGCTGCCTGTTGTCTCCTGGTAATGAGCAAGTTGTTAAACACCGAGTATTGGTTTCGTAGCTCTGTTATCCGGTTTCCATCTGCACATTGACAAGAACAACATCAACACCAACTTGTATTTATATAGCGTCCCCTCAAACAAGGTAGCGTCCCAGAGCGATTAACATTGACGTAGAAGGACAGCAAGACACAGTGGTTACCTCCACTGCTGGCTCTTACTTTATTCCCAACAATTATACGCTATATTCAATGACATTCATGGCCACTTACGTCTCTTGTGCAGACAGAATCCCATTATAAACACAATGATCGCTAACGCAGTGACAATTCCCGCAGCCAGTACTGCAGTGTGCATCCCGGTCCAGGTTCCTAGAGGGAAAATGCACAAATAGTAATTTTTCGACTTTGAAGAGCTAATATGGGGGAGAAACTCATCATTGTAAAGACGTCACTTAGGTTTTATCTCCTCCTGATGTGAAAGTGCGATAGAAAGTCATTTTTCTCTGTTTCAAGGAAAATAGCTCATGTTTTCCTAGTCTGTGCTCATGATGCAAGCCTCTCGCCCACTGACCCTGGGCAGGGGGAGCTTAGCGGGGTCTCTTTGAAGGATGCGCTGGTCACCTGCCAAACTGTGGAAGACCGGATTAGATTGTGACCTTGATGGTGGTCTCTAGTCCGGGTCTGCAGTATTCCAGGGCTCAGGTGATGACAGCACGGCCCGGCCTGGTGCTCATCGGCAAGAGGCTGAGGAACAGATCGATCACTGGAAGCCGCGATTCTAACACCTCAGTTCCCAAGAATACCCCAAGATTGTGTGCGCGTTTTTGGTGATCCTCGCTGGACAAGAAGGGGTTGTGTACCCGATTGTAATCAATGATGGTTAAATATCAGACGTTATGTAACTGCAGGATCTGCGTTGGCCAAAGCTCGTCTCAAGGAACAGTACAATACACCTTAAAGTGGTGATGATTAGAACAGCAAGAGCCTCTCTCCCGCTGGGAAAAGGAGAGAGGGTTTCCATCCCGGACGTGCCGTGTGGGGATCACTCGGGAATTCTGGTTTGGAAAATATTTTACCGCAGGGATGGGTTTCCTCCCGGGGTCAAACACTCCAGCCATCACGAGGAGATAACATGGAAATATGATCGATGGTGTAAAGAGTAGTTATAACAGGAGCTGCTGTAAATGGTCAAAACACAAACGGGTTATGGTGTGAGATTTTACTGAGCTCTTACCCGACACAGAGATTCCCAATCGCTCGCTCTCCGGTGATGTGAACTCTCGGCCGTCTATAACAGTAGTATAGGTACAGGTGTAGTTTCCTGCACTGATCTCGGATATGGTGAATATTGCTGTCTTGTTATTCTCTGGAGCTGTTTGTGATATGATAAACTCGCCGTCTCTGTATAAAGAGAAACTGCTGCTCACATAATTGCCAGAACATGAGATCTCAGCCCTTTTCCCTCTCACAAACTCCCGGGAATTTGGCTTCAGAGAAATGTTGGGTTTCTGGAGCGGATCTGGAATTAAAACACAGTCAATATAATCTCACAAGGCTCGCTATGTGATACGAAGACAGTTCAGATCAGAGTAAAAATAAACATTTGCTTGTTTCCCAGCCTGGAGAGGTGTCAGGACACGGGTGAGGAGTTGAGGGGAAGGTTCGCGACAGAACCCAGCAAGTGTTTCTTTACACAGAGAGAGGGGGAGCGACGGCTGGGAATGGGGTGGACAAGGATGGCGGTGAGGCCGCGGACTGGGGTAACACACAGCTCCAGCCTTGGACGGGAGGTCGTGAATTGCTGTGTGATCTTCAGACGTTTTATAAATAACAGTATAAGATCACATCAGGGGATCAAACGGAGAATTCAGGAGCAACAGCTTCACACAGAATAAGGTGGTGAGACTCACTGCCTAAAGTGGGGGTGCAATCAGACAGGGTAGAGGCATTCAAGAGCAAGCCAGACATTTACAGGCGGGAGAGGGAAATAGAGGCTCTGGGAGGCAGGGAACATGTGGGAGGGAGTCTGTAGGAGGGATGTAGCAACAGATGGTGTGGGAGGAAGGGAGGGAGAGGGTAATAGAGGGTACAGAGGGAGTGGGTTAGAGGGGAATAGAAGGTGTGGCAGGAAGTCAGGAATATATGGTGTGAGAGGGAGGGAGTGAGGAATAGAGGGTGGGGAGGAAGAATGGAGGACGGAGTGAGGAATAAAGGATGTGGGGGTGAAGAAGAGGGTGAGGGTAGAAGGGAGGGAAGGATGAATAGTGGGTGAAGGATTGGGAGGAAGAGTGTGGGAGGGTGTGTGGGGAGGGAGGGAGGAAGAAAAGGTGTGTGAGGAAGAATAGGGGGTGAGGTGACGAGAGAGGAAGGGATGAATCGAGGGTGTAGATGGAAGGAGGAACGGGGAGAGACTAGTTTTACAGAGCGGGTGGAACGAGAGGAATTATTTAATTGCTTAAGAGGAAGGAGGAAGGGGGAGCAGGGGAGAGTGGAGTTTGCTGTCATCGCTTTTATTGGACCCGAGTGGACAGAGATTGACCATTGGTGAGAGAGTTAGTGTGGGCTCGGAGTCAGTGTGGTCTCGGAGTCAGTGTGGGATGGGGTTCAATGTGGGCTGGGGATCAGTCTGGGGTGGGGGTTAGTGTGGGCCCGGGGTCAGTGTGGGCTGGTGGTCAGTGTGGGGTGGGGCTCAGTATGGGATGAGTGTCAGTGTGGGCTCGGGGTCAGTGTCAGCTCGGGGTCAGTGTGGGCTCGGGGTCAGTGTGAGCTCGGGGTCAGTGTGAGCTCGGGGTAAGTGTCGGGTGGATGTCAGTGTGGGCTCGCGGTTAGTGTGTGCTCGGTGTAAATGTCGGCTCGGGGTCAGTGTGGGCTCGGGGTCAGTGTGGCCTCGGGGTCAGTGTGGGCTCGGGGTCCGTGTGAGATCAGGGTCAGGGTGGGCTCGGGGACAGGGTGGGCTCGGTGTCAGTGTGAGCTGGGGGTCAGTGTGGGGTGGATGTCAGTGTGGGCTCGCGGTTAGTGTGTGCTCGGGGTCAGTGTCGGCTCGGGGTCAGTGTGGGCTCGGGGTCAGTGTGGCCTCGGGGTCAGTGTGGGCTCGGGGTCAGGGTGGGCTCGGGGTCAGTGTGAGCTCAGGGTCAGGGTGGGCTCTGGGTCATTGTGGGCTCGGTGTCAGTGTGAGCTGGGGGGGTCCAGTGTGGGGTGGGTTCAGTGTGGGGTGGGGCTCAGTGTGGGGTGAGGGGCAGTGTGGTGTGGGGGGCAGTTTGGGCTGGGGGTCAGTGTGGGTTGGGCTCATTGTGGGCTGGTGGTTAGTATGGGCTCGGGGTCAGTGTGAGCTCGGAGTCAGTGTGGGCTCGGAGTCAGTGTGAGCTCGGAGTCAGTGTGGGATGGGGGTCAATGTGGGCTGGGGGATTCAGTGTGGTGTGGGGTTCAGTGTGGGGTGGGGGTCAGTGTGGGGTGAGGGGCAGTTTGGTGTGGTGGGCAGCTTGGGGTGGGGCTCAGTGTGGGCTGGGGATCAGTGTGGGGTGGGGGTTAGCGTGGGCCAGGGGTCAGTGTGGGCTGGTGGTCAGTGTGGGGTGTGGCTCAGTTTGGGATGGGGGTCAGTGTGGGCTCGGGGTCAGTGTGGGCTCGGAGTCAGTGTGAGCTCGAAGGCAGTGTGCGGTGGGGGTCAGTGTGGGGTGGGGGTCAGTGTGTGTTGGGGTGTCTGGTCCATGGCTGTTCAGGTGGAGGTTGCCGATCTCGGGGCAATATTCAAAACCAGAAGGGAATTTCTCAGGATGACTTGGCCGACAACCCCCCAAACAATATTATGCATTCACTTCCAGCAATTGTTCCTTTACACAGAGAGCGGGAGAGCAATGGCTGGGAATGGGGTGGACAAAGATGGCGGTGAGGCCGGAGACTGGGGTAACACACAGCTCTGGCCTGGGATGGGGGGACGCGAACTCAATCTGATCCTCTCCTGTGATCTTCGGATGTTTTTACAACAGAATAAGGTCACATCAGGGAATCAAACAGAGAATTCAGGAGCAGCGACTTCACACCGAGGGAAGTGAGGTGGTGGGACTCACTCCCTAAACTGGTGGTGCAATCAGACAGCGAAGATTCACTGAAGAGGAAGCCAGACATTTGCATGAGGGAGAGGGAAATAGAGGCTTTGGGAGGCAGGGAAAGGGTGGGAAGAACTGTGTGTGAGGGACGTAGCTAAAGAGCGCGTGGGAAGGAGGGTGGAGAGAGTGAAGGAAAGGGAAACAGGGAATGTATTAGGAAGGGAGGGAGAAGTAAATAGAGGGTACGGAGGAATGGTGGAAGTGGGCTTGAGGGGAATGGGAGGTATGGGTGGAAGTAAGGAATATCGGATGAGAAAGGGAGGCAGTGAGGAATAGAAGTTTGGGAAGAAGGATGTGGGATGGAGTGAAGAATAAAGTGTGTGAGGGGGAAGAAAAGAGTGTTATGGGAGAAATGAAGGACGGATGACTGGAGGGTGTGGAGAGGGAGAGAAGAATAGAAAGTTGGGAGGAAGGGTGTGGGTGGGAGTGTGAGAGGGAGGGAGGAATAAAGGTTGTGTGGAAGAAAAGAGCGCGAGTGTACAGGGAAGGACGGGATGAATAGAGGGTGAAGAGGGATGGAATGAGTCAGTGTGAGGTCGGGGTCAGTGTGAGCTCGGGGTCAGTGTGAGCTCCGGGTCAGTGTGAGCTGGGGGTAAGTGTGAGCTCGGGGTCAGTGTGAGCTGGGGGTCAGTGTGAGCTCGGGGTAAGTGTCAGCTGTCACCTGTGCTGAGTCCCTCCCCCTGTGCTCAGCACCTCCGCCTGTGCTCAGCCCAACCCCCTGTGCTAAACCCCCGCCCCTGTGCTCAGCCCCTCCCCCTGTGCTTAGCACATCCCTCTGTGCTCAGCCCCACCCTCTGTGCTAAAACCCCATCCCTGTGCTCAGCCCCTCCCCTTGCACTAAGCCCGTCCCTCTGTGTTGAGTGGCCCCTGCACTCAGCCTCTCCTACATTGATCAGCCCCTCCCACTTTGCTCAACCTCTCCGACTGCGCTGATCGCAGCACTGTGCTAAGCCTCTCCCACTGCGCTAAGCACCTCCCACTGTGCTCAACCACCCCCCTCTGTTCTAAGCCCCGCCCACTGTGCTTAGCACCTCCAACTGCACTCAACCCCTCCCATTGCGCGAAGCACCTCCCACTGCACTCAAGCCTTCCCACAATGCTAAAGCCCATTCCACTGTGCTAAGCCCCTCCCACTGCCTATCCATCAGTACCCCACAACTGCGCTGGCCCCACCAATATTCGGTGATACCTGTGCAAACACCACTGTGCTCACCCCCACCCTGTGCTCACCCTCACCCTGTGCTCACCTCCACCCTGTTCTCACCACCCCTTCGTGCTCACCTCACTGTGCTCCCCAAGTGCTCACCTCTGCCCGTGTTCACCCCGAACCCTTTTTGCCCCTCCACCCACTTGCTCAATTGCGTGCTCCCCCCGCCACCCACTGTAGTCACCTCCCCTGCTGCCCCCCCACATCCCCACCGAGAAGGAGGTGATAATCAGAGCCACAATTATTTTGCGGAGCAGATGATACCGTATGTGCAAGACCTGTAATACTGACCCCAGGGAATGGGCGAGACCCCCACCCAGATTTAATGATAATAAACTGACAGTTCGTGGGATAGAAACTTGATCAGAGTTTCTCAAACTGTGTTAAACCGAAAACAAGAGAAGCGAAAAATGATCAGAGAATGAATTATTTACCTGAGCAGATGACACCGGCATCATGGGAGTGTGACCAGAATAAGTGACCCCGGGTCCCTGGACATTCCCTCAGAGCAGACTCCCTCCCACTGCACCAAACATCATACATCACAACGGGACCTGAGCCTTCCCCAAACTGAGCCACTGGTGCCGACAACGCTGCTCCACAGCCCAACTCCTTACACAACACAGCCGCATCCTTCATATCCCAACCAGAGCCACCAGAGCCATAGCCATACACTGTGCCTCACTGTCCTCCATAGTAAAGCTCCACTGTCCCGGCACACGGGCTGTCGCCATTCACCAGCCGCACACTCGCACTCCCTGTAAAACATCACACACAGTGTTAGGATCTGTTGCCCGTTTGACTTCCAGTCGCACAGCATATTACCATACAATGTACACAGCGCCCCTAACAAAGGATAGCGTCCCAGAGTCGTAGACAGAGGCGCAGCATGAATCCGAGCCGCGGGTTTGAGGTGGTGATCTGAGGCACTGTCGAACAGGAACGTCTTCTGCTTCTGCAGATGGAAAAAGACGGTGACGCAGAGTGATAGAGGAAGAGTGTTTCAGGGTTTCGGACTGTCGTGGCCAAATGCGTGGTCAGCAGTGGAGGAACAGAGGGCGCGGGGGACAAGGGTGTGGTTAGAACCAGACTATAAACGTGGCCTGTGGATTGTGTGATGGTTTGTCTTCCTGTTCCCCCGATGGAGCTGAAGAGAGGCCGAGTCTCACCCTCAGCAGCTAATGTTCCCACAGCAGCTTCTGGCGGTGGGATTGCGTCACTGACCTGCACATTCCACCGTCTTTCTCTCCAGAAATATCACTGCACGAGGGAAAAAAACACGATCAAAGCAGGAATTACTGATACAGTACCTCACGCAGTCAATAATCTGATCTGTACGGTCTCTCACACAATCAATAATAATAATAATAATCCTTTCATTTGATATAGCGATTTTCACGTCTGGAGGACGTCCCAAAGCGCTTCACAGAACACACTGTAAAGTGAATTCATTGTATAATTATGGGCGATCGCGGCAGCCAGTTGCGCACAGCAATGTCCCACAAAGAGTCACAGATGGAAAATGACCAATTTATCATTGTTTTTGGTTTTTGGAGGGACTATTATTAGGCTCTGTTTGGAATAAGGAAACTTGACCAAGGTTTCGCCCTCTGCCTGGAATTGAACTCAGCTCTCTCGCTTGCAAAGCGAATGCTCTAACCACTGAGCCACAGGACTCCACAATGGTCAGTACTTAACGGGCAGCCATTTTTGTCATTACCAAAAACGACCCTAGTGGGGTAGAGAGCACCAGCACAGACATGAAGGGGAGAGAGAGGACAGGGAGTGGGAATAGAGTAGAGAGCTCCAGTGTTGGGGGTGGGTGGTGGGGGGTGGGTGAGGGTGTGGTGGGGTGGAGCATCAGCACAGACACAATGGGGAGAGCAGGAGGATTGGGACTGACCACAAAACTCTTTCAGAGACCCCCACACACACACCAATTGGCTAAACAGACATTTTCTGCGCAGGGATTGCTTGTGTTTGTGTTTCTGATTCGCTTCTCAAAGAATATGAGGTTTGGTGAAGGATCAGAAACACAAACAACTCTGCTCTACTCACTCCGCTCTCCTCCTCTCCCTCCCCTGTCCTTTCTTCTCCCCGCTCTAATCTCCTCTCCCCTCACTCCAGCCTCCTCTCTACTCTCTATACTCTCCTTTTCTACCATCCTTCCTCTCTTTCCGCGCTCTGCTCTCCGCCCCTCTCTCCTCCACCCCCGTCTCCTCTCCTATCCATCTACCGATCCTACCCTCTCTGCTCTCCCCTCTCTCCTCTCCACATCTCTTCTCACCACTCCTTCTCTCATCTCCTTCCCTCTCTGCTCTCCTCTCTACACCCCACACTCTCCTATGTACTCCTCCTTCTCTCCTCTGCCCTCTCTCTTCTCCTGCCCACTCTTCTCTCTGCCACACACTCCTCCCACGCCACTCCCACCTTTCAGGCCCTGTTGCCTCTCCTCATATCTCTCCTCTACTCCTGGCTCTCCTTCCCACTCTCTTCTCTCCGCCACTCTTTCCTCTGCCCTCTCTGATCTCCTCGCCTCTCTTCTCTCCTCCACTCTCCACACTTTACTCGCGTCTCTCTTCCACCCACCCCTCTCCTCCCCTCTCTCCTTCCCTCCCACCTCTCCTCTTCTCCCCTCCCTCCTCTCCTCCCTTCTCTCATCCCACAGATGTGGGGGATGAAGGACAGTTGACAGTTGAACAGGACACAAGGGTCATGTTTGTAATTGGGTTACAAATAATACTCACCGAAGAGGAAAACAAATAATTGCTTCATCTTGAGGATGAGAAGGAGCTGGTGAGGGTCAAAGGCCGGAGGCTTGTGTCTGGAATGGTGGCGTCTCCGCAGATTTGGAGATAAACCACACGGAGGAGATCTCACGAGCAGCTTTTGCCGCGATACCTTCGCTCTCTGGTCCCCAAATATCAACTTCCCTGTGACACACACACTCTTAGTCTCTCTCGCTCTCTCCACACTGACCACAGGAAAGCAGCACAGTCATTATGTTTTGACCGCTGACATCATCCCCTCCGCCCACTGCTGATCTGCCGTTGTTGGTTGTTGTTAACACTGTCATCTCTGATGGGCGGTGTGGATGGGGTGTCTGACTTGCACAAATAGCGGCAGCTCACCAGCGTCCACAGGGGACAAACTTCGCGGTTTTATTAGTTAAATGAAGGCAGTGACCCCCAACTCTAGGAAGAATATCAAGGCCTTGGAGAAGCTACAGAGGAGATTTCCAAGAGATGATACCAGGGATATTGGATTGCAGTTATGCGGAGACACAAGAGAAGCTGGGATTGTTCTCCTTAGGGCAGAGAGGTTTGATGGGGGACTTAATAAATTCCATACCAAAATAATGTGGGGTTTTGAAAGAGTAGAACGAAGAAACTGTTTCCACTGTTTGGTGGGTTGGTAACCAGAGGACAAAAAATTAAGATAATTGGCAAAAGAACCAGAGGGGAAAGCAGACAAGGAGAATTGTTTTTTACACAGGAGGTTTTAAGGACTGGAGCATATTGCCTGAAAGGGTGGTGAAACATATTCAATAACAACTTGCCAAAGGGAATTAGACAGGTACTTGAGAAGGGAATTAAATGGAGACTTAGGGAGACAGGGGATGGATTGATGTAATTGAAGTGGAAACATTTGCAAGGATATGGGGAATGAATGGGGAAAAGACTGATTGGGCATCTCTTCCAAAGAGCTGGCATAGGCACGATGGACCAAACGGCCTCCTTCTGAGCTGTAGTATTCCAGGATTCTGTAACTTACACACCCCGTGTGGCTCTCGCCAAACTACAACCACCTGGTCCCAACACGCAGTCCGTCACACAGACTAGCCCACAAAATATACAGTCAATTCGCTTTACAGTATATCTTGCTAAACGCTTGGAGATGCCTCGAAGATGTGATAAATCGCTGAATCAAATGCAAGGATTATTATGATTATCACCCACAACATCACGCAGTGTGTCCTGGATTCTGGTCTCCCATTAACCTGAGCCTGACCCGGAGCCACTACAATCCCACAGAAACATCCTCACTTCATCACCATCACTGACCCTAAACCTGATCGTGACGCTGACACTCTCCCTAAGCCCACCCTCACCCTCAACCTAAACATGACTCTAAACCCCAACGCTGAGCCTAAACTTGACCCTTTCCATGAGCCTCACCAAGACACGCGCTCACCTCAGCTTCTCCTTTATTTGGTGGAAATTGACAAAATGAGAGCTAATAAAAACAAACGAACTGTGAGAAGCTGAAAAAGGAACGAGAGATGAGGTATACGGTTTGAGGTGTGAAAACGGATCTCTGTGGTATCGCTGTGTATAAATATCCTGACACTTCCCTCATCATATCAGCAGAGCATCTCAACATGTTTTACAGGCTGCACGACAGCAGACAAAACATGCTCGTCTGTCTGTTACTGTGGCTGTACGCCTCACTCTGCCATTCTCTTTCTCTCATTCTCTCTCTCACACAAAGTGTCTCCCATACTTTCAGTCTTTCTCCTCTACTTGAGCCTCTCAGATGATAAATTGAGGTCCACTTTGTGCCGCGTTCAGGACAGATGTTAAAGAAGTCGGTGTTCGGTAAAGGGAAGGGGAGCTTCTCCAGGTGTTAAAGTTCAGACCAGCGCAAGTCCAGTTGTATGATAGGGTTAATATTGGTCATGGTGTCCAATGGCAAAAGCTGATGTGTGGCCTGATGACTTTCATCAACAACAACAACAAAATTACATTTATAGAGCGCCTTTCACATCAGGAGGACGTCCCGAGGCCACGGTGTTTAGCTTAGCAGCGTTACTGGATACAAAGCACAAACCGCCCTCAAAAAGGGCTCAAACATTTAATCACAAAAGGAGAAAAAAAACAACTGAAGAACACGTCAGAATTTCTGCGGAGGAGGAGACTCCACTCTGCATTTCTCTGGTCAGAAACTGCTTTCAATCTCAAATTCTCTTTTTAATAATAATAGTAATCTTTGATTTTGACATAGTGCCTTATAATGTCTTTCAGACATTTCAGAGAGACATTCAATGTTTCAGAAAAGACGCTGTTCAAAACTAAAATGCATTCATGTCGGAGAGCAGAAAGGTATAGCTCATCAAATGTCCATTTTTAAAATGTTAAATTAGCTGTACCGGGAAACCACGGCCAATATCTCAACACTTATCAAGCCCCCACACACTGGGAAACCACCTCCACCTGGTACACCCCCTCCCACTGGTGCACGCCCTCCCCCTGGTACACCCGCTGGTGCACCCCCTCCCCCTGGTACACCACCTCTCCCTGGTACACGCACTCCGCCTGGGTACACCCCCTCCCCCTGAGTACAGCTCCCTCCACCTGGTACACCCCCTGGTAAACCCAATCCCCCTGTGTATACCCCCTACCTCTGAGAACACCCCCCTCCACCTGGTACACCCCCTCCACCTGGTACACCCACTCTCCCTGGTACACGCCCTCCCCCTGGGTCCACCCCGTGATCCTGAGTACACCTCCCTCCACCTGGTACACCCCCTGGTACAACCAAACCCCCTGAGTATACCCCCTCCCCCTGACTACATCCCCCCCCACCTGGTACACCCCCTCCACCTGGTACACACCTACCCCTGGTACACACTCTCCCCC